TTGAGGCAGCATTTCGGCTGCATGTGAAGGTGTACACCCGTGCTATGGGAAGAAAGCTGGGGAAGGCGAGTGGTTCGAAAAGACAAGGGAGTGCCTATGCGCTGGCAGAGCGGGAGGACCAGCTCCTTGGACGTGTCAGGTGCACGGCGGTGAAAGGTTGGAAGTGGACAAGGAATTTTGGCGCGCTTTGGAATCTTGCGAGAGGGGCTCTGCATCTGCCTTAGAAGGTTGTCCTGAGGTTGTTCCTTCTTGGAGGAATAGCCTTTCATGCTCAGTTACGACTGACATATGTTTGCGTACACTTGTATCATCGGTGTTAGTGGACATATTCAAAAAAAAAAAAAAAAAAGTAAAAACTGTTTTTGTTGTGCGGAGAAGTAATTGGTGTCAGAATGACTGAGCAGGAATGAATGAACTAGCACAGGATTTGGTACAAGTAGGAAACCCTAACTTTGTGTACCCCCTAAGGTGTAACCCACTACAGCCTACACAATATAAACATACAATGTTTGACACACCCCCATAGGCGCAGTGGGAGACAACCACAGGGTCATGAGACCAGTCAAAGCAAAGCAAAGCAAGCTCAGGGTGGATCTCAAGGATACCACACAAATTCCGAGCACAAACAAGTGGTCACAAGACCAGTTCACATGCAGGTTGATAAAATAGCAAGAGATACAGTGATCACACCAGACGCGTCCGGGACAAAGCCAAGGAAGACACAGGGGACAGCTCGACGGGAGAGCTTGTCCGCGGACGTATCGCGAACAAAAGCTCGAGATCCCCAGACCCGAAAACGCGACGCATCGCCAGCCTCTCCCGTCCAACGCAGTGTCGGAGAAGTCTCCGGTAAGGAGACACGGGGCCAGAGGTTGAGCTGATGCGCAGCGTATCGGACTGCAAACGGCCACAGAAAGTGGGGGGCAGCCGCATGAACTAAGGAGGTACGAGCGACCTCCATGACCAAGCCAATGCGGCGCTCAGCAACCCCGTTCTGCTGTGGAGAGGCCGGAAGCGTGAACGACTGCTCAATGCCCTCCTGCTGACAGAAGGTCTCCAAGAGGCCAGAGGAAAACTCCCCACCTCTGTCAGAGTGCAGACGCAGGACAGGGAAGAACAGTGGAGGAGGTCGCAATGATCGGACCCCCAGAGGGGTCAGCGAGGGAGACAGCAACTGGCCGAGCAAGCGGCTCAAGGGCAGTGCGGTCACGAAAGAAACAGCGAGAAGCACCTGAGTCCAGGGTGAAGGTGTGCAGTGCCTCAGTCGACTCAGTACCAGGGGAGACAGACTCACTAGCACCTAAAGCGACAGCCTCACCATCACCTGAGGTGGCAGACACGCGAGTACCGGGAGTGGGAGCCTCACCAGCACCTAGGGCAACAGACGTACTAGCACCTAGAGCGGCAGCCTCACTGACAGAAGCTCCCGAACGATGCACTCCAGAGCGACTACCACTACGGCCACCCCGACAGCCCCAACTAGCGTACCACTCACGCGCACGAAGCACCTGGGGCGAAGGAGGACACGGCAGCTGCACCTGTCCACTACCAGAAGCTCCCGACCGATCCACTCCAGAGCGACTACCACTACGGCCACCCCGACAGCCCCGACTAGCGTACCACTCACGCGCACGAAGCACCTGGGGCGAAGGAGGACACGGCAGCTGCACCTGTCCACTACCAGAAGCTCCCGACCGACCCACTCCAGAGCGACCACCACTACGGCCACCCCGACAGCCCCGACTAGTGTACCACTCACGCGCACGAAGCTGCTGGGGCGTGAGGGACTCACGCGCACGGCCCTGGAGCTGCATCTGGCCACGCCAGGAGCAGCAGTAGTAGCAGTAGCGGCAGCAGTGGGAGTAGAAAAGGCAGTAGCAGCAGTAGCAGCGGTAGCAGTGTTGGGCAATGCTCACCAGTGGTCGGCGTGGCAGGCGCAAGACGGTGGCGACAGCGGGGCCGCTACAACTGCAGGGCTGGGCCGGGCCGTAGCAGGGAGCTCAGCGGTAGCTGCTGCAGGGCGAGGCCGGGCCGCGACGGCAGCTGCTCCAGGTGCCAGGGGCGGCTGCTGCAGTGGCGGCGGCTCCAGGGGCCAGGGGCGGCTGCTGCAGCTGTGGTTGCTCCAGGGGCCAGGGGCAGCTGCTGCAGGTGCGGGCTGCTCCAGGGGCGGCTGCTGCAGGTACGTGCTGCTCCAGAGGGGGCCGCTGCAGTGGCAGGCGGCTCCAGGGGCGGCTGCTGCAGTGGCGAGCGGCTCCAGGGGCTGCTGCTGCAGTGGCGGGCGGCTCCAGGGGCTGCTGCTGCAGTGGCGGCTGCTCCAGGGGCTGCTGCTGCAGTGGCGGCTGCTCCAGGGGCGAGAGGCGGATTAGGTCAGGGCGACGCGGCGAGAAGGGCGACGCGGCGGGCAGGTGGCGACGCCGCGGGCAGGGCGACGCGGCGGGCAGGTGGCGACGCCGCGGGCAGGTCGACGCGGCGGGCAGGTGGCGACGCCGCGGGCAGGCGGCGACGCCGCGGGCAGGCGACGACGCCGCGGGCAGGCGCCGACGCCGCGGGCAGGGGACGACGCCGCGGGCAGGCGACGACGCCGTGGGCAGGCGACGACGCCGCGAGCAGGCGACGACGCCGCGAGCAGGCGACGACGCCGCGGGCAGGCGCCGATGTCGCGGGCAGGCGACGACGCCGCGGGCAGGCGACGACGTCGCGGGCAGGCGACGACGCCGCGGGCAGGCGACGGCGCCGCGGGCAGGCGACGACGCCGCGGACAGGGGCTACGTCGCGGGCAGGCGACGACGCCGCGGGGAGGCGGTGACGCCACGGGCAGGGCGACGCGGCGGGCGGCGAGAGCCTGCAGGGGCGGCGTGCGGTCGTGCAGAGGCTGCGCACTGGCCTGACGGACCTGCAGGGGCAGCTCGAGAGTGCACGAGGGCGCACGAGGGCGTACGAGGGCGCACGAGGGCGCACGAAGGCGCACTAGCAGAGAAAGGCGCACGAGGGCGCACGAGGGCGCACGAGGGCGCACGTAAGGTAGAGCGCACAAGGGCGCAGAGGGGGAGGCGCTAACGCAGCACTCCGACTGTAGGGCGCACCAAGGTGCTAGGAAGTAGTTAGTAGAGGTGGGCCCGAAAAAAAAACTTAGGGACCCACTATAGCCTACACAATATAAACATACAATGTTTGACATGGCTAGCACGAGGAGCAACTGGAGCTGCTAGCATTGGAAAGTACGTGCGATAGTAGGACAGTTTGTACGGCTACGGGGTTTTGGCAGCTGTGCAGGTCGCCCAGCAAGCAGGAACGTGGGCGATAGTTGTTGACTGCTATTTGGGATATTTAGGCTCTAAACACACCTTTAAGTCACACTATATAGTTCCCACGGGGTCACCTCCAAGGGTCCTTGGGTGCGTGGCAGAGCTAGCCCCTATCTCAGGGTCCGAGTTTGAAGAGGAAATTCCTTAAGTGTGAAAATAATCGCGCGTTCTAGAGCGTTCCCAAAGTTCGGTGCGCAGCGTTGACGATGAAATGGGCTCGTGTGCAGAATAACTCTTCACGTCAATACGTTGATAGAGCAAGTTAACTCGCCAAAGAGATTCAGAAAATAATTCCACTATAAGTGTTGATTACAACCAAACACAAGCATAGAGTTATTGTTCGCCTTACACACGAGCAAAGGAAAGCATAAAGCAGCTGGAAGGCGAAGCCCTTGAATTACGCAGTACTTGAAAACAGTTGGAAACTTCTAGGGTTGTTGCCTATTTTATCCTATTGCAAGTGAATGTAGCATGAGGCAATTCCCGTGCTAACTCCTCACATGAAATTTTTTGGCTCCCATATGACTCTCATATGCCTCCCATAAGCCTCACATGAAGTCCATGCGAGTTAACAGCTGTAAAACGGAACCGTTTCATGATGTGAGCAACCAAATTGTACCTGCGGCAAAACCATTTTTCAATGCAGCGAGAATTTCTCGAGGAATTTTGAGTTCGCCACGCCAGAAACGACATGCTCAAGATTCACTTATTCAGGCCTTGTTCGGGAGAACAAGAGAATGAGGAGTATATGATCCAGAGGATGAATAGTACTAGGCTCGGAAGCCCAAAAATCGCGTGCGACCCCCATGCGACCATGTTCGTAACCAAACCTCACGGTTTGGAAACATCAACCTCATCTTGACCTCTTCAGCGGCTCGAGTAATCACAGGCAAAATTTGCCTCACTTTCTCCTCGCCATGCTCTGGCGAGGAAAAAGTGAGGCTCGGTGGTCAAGAAAGTTTGTTGGGCATCTGGGTTTCTACTTATTGATTGCCCAGGGCGGACATGTACGAACAAAACTGTACCTTCGTGTACACCCTACAAGACACAATCCACACTCTGTCACACCACGGCTAGATCGCCATCAGTGAGCCTTATGCTTCCTTACGACTGCGAATGTTGCCGCAAACCTAGCATCATCGTCTAGGCCTAGTTGCTTACATACAAACGGCCATTTGGAGACGGGATAAACATATTGGTAGCCACGGTATCAATCTCTAATATAGAAATCGGCATACAGTTAACACCGGTTCCTCTCCTGCCTAGTATATTGTCGTCATTCACTTTGGTAGTTGCTGCTATCTTTATGACTGCACATCGCGAGGCATCCCTGAATCGTTGGGGAGGATCCCAGGTTGCTCGTGACGCTGATTGCATCGGGGAACAACTGTCCAAGGTGAGCACAATAAAAAGGGAGGCGAAAAAAAGGGGTTGTTAAGCTTGTGAGGCGTTTAGACGTGAGTCCGAGTTAAAACGAGCCGGTAATAATGGAGGCAGATTGGTTGTGGCGGTGAGAAGGCTCGTGGACAAAAGGGGAGGAGGCGAGTGGCTCAACGGATAGAAGGGGGCCGGAGTAGTCTCCCTCGGCGGAGTAGGATCGCGATGCGGGGAGAAGGGAGGCCGAGTAGGATCGTAGGGCGGGGGGAAGGGGGCGGTGTAGGATCGAGATGCGGGGAGAAGGGAGGCGGAGTCAGATCAGCGGGCGGGGAGAAGGGAGGCGGAGTAGAATCGAGATGCGGAGAGAAGGGAGGCGGGGTAGGATCGAGATGCAGGGAGAAGGGAGGCGGAGTAGGAGCACGATGCGCGGAGAAGGGAGGTGGAGTCGGATCGGCGGGCGGGGAGAAGGGAGGCGGAGTAAGATCGTGATGCGGAGAGAAGGGGTTGGAAAAGGAGTAGGATCGATATGCGGGAAGAAGGGACGCGGAGTAGGATCGAGATGCGGAGAGAAGGGGTTGGAAAAGGAGTAGGATCGAGATGCGGGGAGAAGGGAGGCGAAGTAGGATCGAGATGCGGGGAGAAGGGAGGCTGAGTAGAATCGCGATGCGGGAGGAAGGCAGGGATAGGAGTGATGGCGTGCGGGGAGAGAGGGGGCGGTGTGATAGTGTGCGGGGAGAGGTGGGGCGGAGTGAGGGTATGGAGGGATAGAGGGAGGAAAGTGAGTGCAAGCAGGGGAGAGGTGGGGCGGAGTGAGGGTATGGAGGGATAGAGGGAGGAAAGTGAGTGCAAGCAGGGGAGAGGTGGGGCGGAGTCAGGGTATGGAGGGATAGAGGGAGGAAAGTGAGTGCAAGCAGGGGAGAGGTGGGGCGGAGTGAGGGTATGGAGGGATAGAGGGAGGAAAGTGAGTGCAAGCAGGGGAGAGGTGGGGCGGAGTGAGGGTATGGAGGGATAGAGGGAGGAAAGTGAGTGCAAGCAGGGGAGAGGTGGGGCGGAGTGAGGGTATGGAGGGATAGAGGGAGGAAAGTGAGTGCAAGCAGGGGAGAGGTGGGGCGGAGTGAGGGTATGGAGGGATAGAGGGAGGAAAGTGAGTGCAAGCAGGGGAGAGGTGGGGCGGAGTGAGGGTATGGAGGGATAGAGGGAGGAAAGTGAGTGCAAGCAGGGGAGAGGTGGGGCGGAGTGAGGGTATGGAGGGATAGAGGGAGGAAAGTGAGTGCAAGCAGGGGAGAGGTGGGGCGGAGTGAGGGTATGGAGGGATAGAGGGAGGAAAGTGAGTGCAAGCAGGGGAGAGGTGGGGCGGAGTGAGGGTATGGAGGGATAGAGGGAGGAAAGTGAGTGCAAGCAGGGGAGAGGTGGGGCGGAGTGAGGGTATGGAGGGATAGAGGGAGGAAAGTGAGTGCAAGCAGGGGAGAGGTGGGGCGGAGTGAGGGTATGGAGGGATAGAGGGAGGAAAGTGAGTGCAAGCAGGGGAGAGGTGGGGCGGAGTGAGGGTATGGAGGGATAGCGGGAGGAAAGTGAGTGCAAGCAGGGGAGAGGTGGGGCGGAGTGAGGGTATGGAGGGATAGAGGGAGGAAAGTGAGTGCAAGCAGGGGAGAGGTGGGGCGGAGTGAGGGTATGGAGGGATAGAGGGAGGAAAGTGAGTGCAAGCAGGGGAGAGGTGGGGCGGAGTGAGGGTATGGAGGGATAGAGGGAGGAAAGTGAGTGCAAGCAGGGGAGAGGTGGGGCGGAGTGAGGGTATGGAGGGATAGGGGGAGAGAAAGGGGGCGAAGAGAGAGGATTTGCATAGTGTCCTGGCATAATGGCTAAGCTTGGTGGAGGCAAGGAGCATGGGTATTGCCTGGTTGACGGTGGGTTGCTGAAGTATATGTGTGAGTGTTGTTTACCTCATGTTCGATCTTCAGGATTCAGGGTCCACGTGAAGAATGGAGCACGTCAACTTGGGATACCAACAAATGTCATTTCAACTTTCCACGCACTTTGGGTCAACAGGTGAAGCAATTCGTGAAGAGTTCAACGCTGAAGGCCAGGATGAGCTCACACAGTATTTATACAGCTACGTGCCTGGTGGCTTGGCATACACACAAGGTGAATTGAACCGACATGTGCACATTGCTGGGACGGGGGCGCCTGATGCCCCAATGGCATCAAATTCAAACCCATTCCAGATCCCTGAGGGTTCGACAGCCCATGGAGCTCTTAGTGCCATTAGGGGAACTGCTAGAACTAACATCACCGGAAGACGGTCCCACCCTATGTGGAATGACAATCTTACCACCCAGATGCTCCAGTATGTGGTTGATGCCATGACAGATGTTGGTAGAAAACTTTCGGGTAAAATCACATGCTGGGGCGAAATTTATGCGCGGTGGAATGCTGAGCATGAAGAGCTCAACCTCGTGGTCGATCAGCTCAAAAATAGAGTCAGGGATGTCTGGGCTTGGGTCAAGGACATCAAGCAGTTGAAGGGGTGGGTGTGCTCGGGGGTGCATTGGAATCCGAGGCAGGACTACTTTGATCCCAGCATAGTGAGCTGCATCACATACGCCATTATCGCAAGCGTATATAATCTCTCTTATATGTGAGTGTGTCTGATAGACAACTGATTGACTTACTATACACTCGTGCAGGCTACCAAAATCGACATAGAGAATTATGCGAGAAGGACAATTAGGCTCGTGTGGGACGATTTTAGGAGGTAGATGACACATTCTGCTCCCTGACTGAGTCTTGGGGAGAAGTTGGTTTCAGGCTCTGGGACTTGTGGAAGATGGGCCGTGACGGAGGGGGATGGCGATAGGGAATATGAATATGACCCGGGTGGGTTCGATCTTAATGGTGGGGACAAGGGAGGCGATACTTCTTCGGAGAGAGGACGGCAACAGCGTCGGATGGGAGATGATCACAACATCCCCCATCCACAGGGCGGGGTGGTAGTGGCATGAACTAGGGAGAAATAGGGATTGGAAATGTAGAAGGGGGGCCAGGATTAATCACTCCCGATTCATCTCCAGCATCGGCAGGCTGCCAATCTGGCTGACGGGTGGAGTAGGCGAGGGGTGGATCCCCGAATGTGAATGTTTCATCCTCTGAAAGGGACGCGGCTAAAAACGGGGCAGAGGCTGGATTGGAAATGTAGAGGGGGGGCCAGGATTAATCACTCCCGATTCATCTCCAGCATCGGCAGGCCGCCAATCTGGCCGACGGGTGGAGTAGGCGAGGGGTGGATCCCCGATTCATCCTCTGAAAGGGACGCGGCTAAAAACGGGGCAGAGGCTGCTGCTCGTATTAGATGTCGCTTGGTGATGTTGCCTCCACATCAATCCTCCCGTAGTAGTGGACGCAACAACACTGAAAGGCTAGCCGACAGCATGGCTACGATGACAGACACACTCCAACGTGGACTTACCTTCAATGCCTCAAGTAAGTATGCGACAACATACCTGTGCAAGCCATGCACATACGTTAGTGCAGGCCAATTACATGCGAGCCATGCATGCCATTCACATTCGAGTAGTGCATGCCATTCACATGCGAGGTTCCTCATGCCATTCACATGCGAGTAGTGCATGCCATTCACAAGCGAGGTTCCCAATGCCATTCACATGCGAGCCGTGCATGACATTCACATGCGAGCCGTGCATGCCATATCACATGCGAGCAGTGCATGCCATTCTCATGCGAGTCGTGCAGCCCATTCACATGCGAGCCGTGCATGCCATTCACATGTGGCAGTGCAGCCCATTCACATGCGGCAGTCCATGTCAAGTACATGCGAGCAGTGCTGGCCAATTACAAGAGGCAGTGCATCCCATTCACATGCCAAGTTCCTCCCTATACCGTACTAATCACCCATGCTCGACCACTTTTCCCGTATCTTCACAATCCCATTTTTACCATTCCTTTCTGTTCCACCCCCCACCCACTTACCAACCCATGGCATATCAGACGAATCGACAACACCCTTGGTCGAGTAACGGACATCATTTCTGAAATGAATAGCATCGGTGACATGGACAAGATCCGTACGATCAAGATTTTCATCAGTAGCCCGCCTGATGTGGTTGCGTTTAAGCGCAAAGGCTTAGAAGAAACCGATGCAGGACTATCTACAAGAAGGTATTTACAAAGTGCCTAGAGCCTAAGCTTTAACTACGTGCATCCCTTAAAACGTTTAGAATACGACATTATGAGATGCTATTCTAGGTTCTTCTCATCTAATTTAGTACTAGTTAATGGCTGAAAGATCTTCTCACCTTCAAGTGGTGGGTGGAGCGTGACTGACGGGAGGAAGAACTAAGCTCAGCCAGCGAGATGGAGGGAGGGAGGAAAAATAGAAATACAAACCCTAGGACAATTAGAATTTCGTCGCAAATGTTAAAGCGACGGGTCACTTTTGGCAAAGGAACAGTGCTGATGTCAGCACTGCGCGAAATTGGCTCAGTGGTGCGATACAAAAGGAGTTGAACAGGCCGTGACGAAAAAAACGAAATGAGTGCGAAATTCGTAGTGGGGAAGGAAGGCACACTTACCAAGGGACAAACGCGCGCAAGGGGAAGGGATTGGGGGGAGGAAAGGGACACCCGCAGCGCACCAACAACAAACCACAGCCACAATTTTCACTCGACAGCAATAACCACACCACACACCACACGCCAATAGAGGCCTTTATGAGTACAATAGTCAGCGTACCACCCAAACGCTTTGTGGATACACGGGTTTAGGCTACGAAGCGCGCACTGTCTAACGGCCCTTGTCTCATAGCTTCATCCACCATGCTCGGTACACGAATTCTCTGACGTTGTCGGAAATGGGCATAAAACACGGCTGTCTTGTCGCGTGCTATGTGGGCGGAATACGGACGTCGTGAAATTTGGAAACCGTGTCGCATGGGATATGCTGGGCGTGTGGCGAAGCTGAGTGTGTGTTATAAGGTGTAGGAACAAGCCACCGCGATGCGGCTTAGAGTGAGATAGGAGAGTGAGTTGTTCTTCATCTACGAAAAATAGCTGTGTACAATTCTGTGTCGGCCTGCCTACTATTCTTGACGAGTGTAACCCTAAACCTGCCTGCGAGGGGAAGCGAATGAGTTCACTTTTGTTCAAAGGTTTTTTATTGTCCGTAGGAGCGGGGTGCAAGCCACATCTACTTGCGGAAGTTCTCCCCCAAACTGGGGAGGTCCGTGTGCCCCCCAACTCCTGCAGTACAATACATGGTTACCAGGGGTTCAAAAAAAAAACTTCTGAACCAACCATGCCAAAAGTGCACCGTCGCTTTAATGATGTAGAAAATGCATGAAGATTTTCGTTCGGCGGTGATAGCTCAGTTGTTTGAAGAAGAATCAAGACCCGATTCGTTTCGAATCCAACCGACTTGTTTTGCAAAGCTCTACCCAACTGCACCTAGATTTCAAACTCGCTGTTACAAGTTGTACATAATACAGTGTTCATGCAGAATGTGATTAATACTTGGTACCATAAGGTGTAAACAAAAAAGGATTGTTATGCAAATCGCTTCGCAACCCTAGGTCGACTTTGGTCGCCTCTTGTTTTTTTTTCATGGCTCTGTATGAGTGAGCTCATCACTGGCAGTAGAGTCAATAACAGGGACAATGGGCTATAGTAGTGCCGGTGGTGTTGCATCATTGACACCCTTCATACAACAGTACAGACTACATTATTTCTTCGTTTACTTAGTTTCCTATAATCCAGGGAGAGAGGGTTTATTAATAGACACAATAACCAATGCCCGTAATATATTTACTCTCTAGTGGTAACCCCAACTCGTCTGGATGCCCACAACGTTGCTGCAATTTGGTCTCTTCGAGCACGTCCTTCTTGAGCAAAGGCTGTAGCACCCATGGGCCTTCGTAGTTCAAGGGGGGGAGAGGAGGTGCAGATACATCCACACTTAAAGCCCTGTCAGAATGTTGTATTTGTCTAGCCTGCAGTGGGGTACTCTATAGCGAGTACAGCCCAATCTAGGGTTTGCTATTTGTATCTCAACTGCTGCTAGTCCAAACCCTCTTTCTGCTTCTAAACTTCCTGCTCAGTTATTTCGACATGCTATCAGAGCAGGTCGACCCTCCTGGGTCGATCCTGTGGGTGGGCCCACCACCTAAGCCTTCCGCTGCTACTGCTACTGCTACTCTGTGTGTCGCACGCCCCGTGGCGTACGACGGATTTTTTATCTCGCCGTGCGCCCCGAGGTGCGCGGCGGTTTTCTGCCCGATGTGCGCCCCATGGCGCGCGGCGGTTTCCTGCCGTGGGGAGCCCGCGCGCGCCCCGCCCGTCCGTTGCGGCGCCCTGGGGAGCACGCGAGCGCCCCGCCCATTCGTCGCGGCGCCCTCGGGAGCCCGCGCGCGCCCCGCCCGTTCGTCGCGGCGCCCTGGGGAGCACGCGAGCGCCCCGCCCGTTCATCGCGGTGCCCTGGGGAGCCCGCGCGCGCCCCGCTCGTTCGTCGCGGCGCCTTGGGGAGCCCGCGAGCGCCCCGCCCGTCCGTCGCGGCGCCCTGGGGAGCCGCCCCCCCCCCCCCCCCCCCCCCCCCCCCCCCCCCCCCCCCCCCGCCAGTCCGCCGCGGCGCTCTGGGGAGCCGCGCGCGTCACTTCCCTCCCCCCGACCCGTCCGTCCGTTTTGGCGCCCTGGGGTTGCGCGCGGTCCCCCTCTCGCCGTCCCCCGCGCTCCTGCCCCTCTCCCACTCGTTTTAGGGTTTGGGGATGTGGAGTGTGGGGGTGGCGGGTGTGGGGGTGCCGGTTGTGTGCCCCGTCCCCTCCTTCTCCTCCTCCTCCGTCTCCCGCTGCT